TTTCTTAATGGGATTTTGTTATGTAAAACAAATCTTTCTAAAAGTGATTTCAACCTACTGTGATTTTAAAATCATTCAAAGTTATATTTTTAAATCAGTGATTACTATCAAGTAGAAAAAATATACAAAATAAAAGAAGAATAGAATTAGTCAATTGCTTCTGAGAAGCTGTATCAGGATCTCGACTACCCTTATCGAATAATGGCCGGTTTATTTTTGCATCGCTTTAATATTAATGTTACCACCCCTTGGTATAATAAAGTCGTGGTCCCGGGTTATACATACGTATGGGACGTTTTTCATTCCGGAACTGTAGCTCGGGTCGGGAAGGCACAGGAAGTTTAGTTAACCGCTCTATCGAGTATAAATTATGCGCGCTATTAGAGTCTGTCGAGCACGACCAGGTTTGCATCGCGACTGATACCGATAGATAAGGCCGGAAGGAAAATGGACAAGCATAGTGTGTGGGAACATGATTATGCCAGAGAGAATAATCCTTGTTGCAATATTTAAACGTTGCCCGGATTTCCTGGTTCAGCTGATATAATAATCATCGTCATTATTTCGTATCATTTTACCTATGATAGATGAGTAGTTATTATTTTTAAGTAAACATCTGCTTATATGAAAATGTTATATACAATAAAATACAAATATTCTAGATAAAAGCTGTTTAGTTTCTTGAGTATAAATCCCTTTGAAGTACAGTAATGGTTGGAATCCTATAAAACCTAATGGTTTGCAATGTAGTACAAAACCTTTATCCAATCCATTAAATCGTAAACTAAATTTTATTTAAATCAGTGAACTGGCTTGTTTTACATTAAATTCCTTTCCCACTTCTTTTTATCCTTTAAATATGCATTTCATTCGCCTAGATAAAAGGTACTTCAGACAACCGGCTCATGCAAATAATCGGCGCGTCATGCTACGTCGATCTTCCCTCCGCAGCTCCCGGTTTTTGCGCCCCAACAGCAATTTCCGTTTTTATTAAACACTGTACGTTTTTCTCATTTCGTTTCAAGACTCCTTCCTGAATCGCTTAAACAATTTGAGATTTCGTTCCACTCTGAAAATTCTTTACCGATCATCGCCAAGCTATTTGTTTACCGGTATACATAGTGGAGGGGAATGCATGGACGCTATCAATTTCACGGCTATCATCGATACCTACACAACATACCGCTTTATCATGGCGCGGCTTGTTTCTTCATAAACTGTAAAAAAAAGCTCGTCGTACCTTTTGGCTCCGGTTTAATATAACAATTCCTTAGCATGTACAAGGTAACCCGGCGTAGTAATGAGTTCTCTTTATGACCGTGACGATCATCGATAGGATCGGCCCAAGCCTTTCTATAACATCTCCGTGACCGTCTGTTTGCCTTTCGACGTGTAGTATCCTACTCGGATACAATATCGATACTTGATTGTAGATCCCTAGCAGCCAAGCGAATTTTTATGAATAGAGATGATTAATGCTTTCTGTATGAATACACGAATGTCCGTTATTTATTATTTACTATGCGCTGCTGATTAAACCATTTACAGGCAGTTTCTTTTAACATCCGACTAATAAGTATGTAACGATTGACGTCGTGACAAACAAATTTTGATGTACGTCGAAATCGAGAAATTCGTCTTGATGAAATAAATGCAAGAATCGTCTTTCAAATCCGTCATTCTTGAAACACATTAATTACTTCAAGTCAAGCATTCTAATCCTTGTGTTGTTTAGGTTTTCGCGGCGAACAATGCGAGGAGAACATCGACGATTGTCCGGGCAACCTGTGCCAAAACGGAGCTACGTGTATGGACAGAATAAACGAATACTCGTGTCTCTGTCCACCGTCGTACACGGGCACCCAGTGCGAGATGGACGTGGACGAGTGCTCGGTGCGGCCCTCGTTGTGCCACAACGGTGCCACGTGCACCAACTCGCCCGGTAGTTACTCGTGCATATGCGTGAACGGCTGGACCGGACCGGACTGCAGTGTCAACATCGACGATTGCGCGGGAGCCGCCTGTTTCAACGGCGCCACGTGCATAGACCGCGTCGGCAGTTTCTACTGTCAGTGCACTTATGGAAAGACTGGTAAGTGATCGAATACCCTATGCAAAGTGATCAGATTTCATGGAAATGAAAAAATAATTTCTTTTCGTATAGGAAATCAATTATTTATTCAAGTTTGAGCTCGTTAAATAATTTGTTTTTATCTAAAATTATTTATTGAATTCATAAACAGAATTATTTTAACTACTTTTATAAATTTGTATATAAATTGTACACAATCGCATAAGAGATCTGTGTTTATAACGCAAATTTTCATATCAGTTAATGAACATGCAATCTGATAGATATTTTAAGTATATTTTTTACACCTGATGGTATTTTGCATACATTACATGCGACTGCATTTTTTGTACACTGAATCTCGTTTCCACAAACGCATAAAAATCGACGAGCCACTCGCGTTACACGGTATTGCATCGTGCAGGGTATACACTGGCGACTGGGGAGCAGGTGCATGTTGCAACTGCACGTGCAACGATATGATGCAGGTTCGAAGGGTCCCTCGGAATCCCGGGATTCCGGAGGCTGTTGATGCAGCAGAAACAACAGAAGCAGCAGCAGCCTAGCCTTACGAAGCGAACGTAGCGACCTTGAGGACTGAAAACGAGTTTCTGTCCTTACTTGCCGTCCCGAGGCCGAGGAGTCTCGACGACTTCTATTGCTACTGCTGCTGCTTTTGAGACCGATCCAACATCGCGACGATGATCGCCAAATATAAGCATCGTACTTTTGTCTACCGGCGCGATTAAGATTCCCTACGGTAGCCCGTGGTGCTGGGATACGAGTTTTTCCGAGACCAAGTATCCCGGGAAATCTTGGAAACGAACGTAATCACGCGCCAGTGTCACAGACTGGGTAACCTTACAGTAGCCTTGCGAAACATTTAAGGGTAGGGTTTTTTGGTAGAAGCACACAGAGACTTTCTTGGCAAAGTCGAGGACTCCGTAAAGTACGTTTATGGTAATTCGATGAGAACAAGAATTTTTGAAGTAAAATCATATTGATACCAAATAGTAAATTCATATTTAGGTACACTGTGTCTTTGGCTACATTAAAGTTTTACAATTCGAAAATTAAAATATATACATAAATCATTCTTAGATAGTGATATGTTTAACACTAGAATTAACAAATCAGTAAAAATGACTGGTTTTGGATGTTGAAAAACATATTTATATCAAAAGCAGTCGATAGTTCTAGTCTTAAGACAAAAAAGACAGCGCAATCTCTGCTGTTCACTGGCAACAAAAGCAGTTCGAACGCGTCGGATCTCGATAACGGGACAGACTGTGTATATGCTCTAAGACTAGGATGTCCGCACATAAAACAGTGGTACGCAGATGCTCGATTACACCCGCGACTAACTGTAACCGCGTACTAACTCAAGTACTTACTTACTTATTTACCTGCGTTACGCTACAGCCCAGGAACACGATTGCTCTCGCGAGGCTCCAACGCGAGATACTCCGTCATTATGCGTGTCCAAACCCGTTAACTTATACAAAAGCTAAATTGGACCCATTCCTGGGTTAACCAAAACGTAAATTGAAAGGGCTGATTCATTGATACATAAAAGGCACTTTCGAGTCTTGCCGAAGATTATGATTTGAGATAATGTGTTGAAAATGAAATAGAAAATTACACTAAACATCAGTTCCAATCTTTATTTTCTTTCATTAAATTGATATACATTGAATTCAATATTTATTCTATAGAAAAATTGCAATTACTATTTCGAGGAAACAAAATACAACCACAACATCTACTTTGAAAAGAAACTAACAAGAGTTCACAGTATTTTTTACAGTTAAACGGTCATCGGTAACCATTTTAAGGAATTTCAATCGGAATTCTACGCAATTTCCCCGGTAAAGAGCAATTAGACTTAGGTTATCGCGTAAGCAGCCACGGTATTTTTCAGTAATTTACTTTATAAGCGGCCTGAGATTTGTCGCACCGTTCTTCGAGCGTAAAACATTTCTGGTTACGAGCAACACCGGTCGCTGGGACCTTTAATGATGTCCATCTTTGGCGTTCGTCACGTCGTCGCCGTGTTTGGCTCGCACGCATTGATACTTTTGTCCTAGAAACGCACGCAATAGAATACCCT